TACAACAGGTGGACAAGACAGGACTCCACTGAAATTTGAAGGCCTGGGGCTGGGTTTTGACCCTTCCCCTAGATGCACTGCCTGAAACTCAGCTTTCCCTTGGGGGCGAATGGGAGACCGGACCCCCACCCCCACCCATGACCCTTACGGGTGGCCCGATGCCAACAAGCCGGGAGGCGAAGGCGGTTTCTTGCGCTTCCTTCCGGTATTGTTCCTTTCGTCTCCTCCTCTTCCTTCTGTGACGGTACACGTTATTTATGAACGGGTACTGAGTTGAAAACGAGCCTTGTGGTGCACCGGTTAAGCACTTGGCTGCTAACCGAAAGGTCGGCGGTTCAAACCCACCCAGTGGCTCTGCGGGAGAAAGACCTGGCAATCTGCTCCCCTAAAGGTTATAGCCTAGAAAACCCTATAGGGCAGCTCTGCTCTGTCACATGGGGTCGCTATGAATTGGAATTGACTCAACGGCACCCAACAACTCTGAGTTCAACACACATATTTGGAAGTCAATCACTCTAGCATTTCCTTAGTGAATCTCTCCTAGGCCTCCAAAATCTATTTCAACTCGGAGAGATTCAGTTTCCACACAGATTGGTTGTTCTTAGGTGCCATCGAGTCAGCTCCAACCCACAGCGACCCTCTGTACAACAGAACGAAACACTGCCCCGTCCTGCGCCATCCTCTCAATCCTTACTGCTTGAGCCCGTTGTTGCAGCCATGGTGTGAATCCATCTCATTGAGGGTCTTCCTCTTTTCTCGCGGACCCTCTGCTTTACCAAGTATGATGTCTTTCTCCAGGGATTGGTCCCTCCTGATGACATGTCCGAAGTACGTCTCGCCATCTTCGTTTCTAAGGAGCGTTCTGGTTGTACTTCCTCCAGGACAGATGTGTTCATTCTTTCGGCAGCCCGTGGGATATTCGGTGTTCTTCACCAGCATCGCAATTCCAAGCCGGTTCCTGAATATTACACACGCCTTCCACTTCCTTGTTTCTTGCGTCCTCTTGTCCAGCTTGAGACCAGTATTTCTTTATGCAGATAAAGTACGAAATACGCTCTTGTCCCCCCCTTTGGACAAAAAGCCACCTAACACACTGTCATCCTTGCGTTTTGCTTACCTTCTTTCCAATCGAAACCCACACCCTCCCCCTGTCAGCTTCTCGACATAATTACAAATGCAATCTATTGCCTAAATCGATATTCAGTATTAATATTACTGTGTGCAGTGCCTAGCATCCACAGCGGAGCCACAGAGTACTGGGATTGCATGTCTATCTCTGCACCTACTTTGTTCTCTTTTCTGGGATATTTGCCTACCTTTATCTTCTCGGCCTTACACTGAAGTATTTTATCCCAGCTATTACATATATTTAGAAGCCCTGGTGGCACCATGGTTAAGTGCTCTGCTGCTGACCAAAAGGCAGCAGTTCGAACACACCAGCAGCTCCAGCTCTGTGGGAGAAAATACTGGCGATCTGCTCCTGTAAAGATTACAGCCTACGAAACCTTCTGGGGCAGTTCTACTCTGTCCTATTGGGTCACTAGGAGTTGGAATGGTGTCATCGAGTCAGCTCCGACACATAGCAAACTTACACACAACAGAACGAAACACTGCCCGTCCTGCGCCACCCTCACAATCATTCTTATGCTTGAGCCCACTGTTGCAGCCACTGTGTCAATCCATCTCATTGAGGGTCTTCCTCTTTTTCGATGACCCTCTGCTTTACCAAGCATGATGTCCTTCTCCAGAGACTGGTCTCTCCTGATAACATGTCCAAAGTACATGAGATGAAGTCTCGCCATCCTGGCTTCTAAGGAGCACTCTGGTTGTACTTCATCCAAGACAGATTTGTTCGTTCTTCTGGCAGTCCATGGTATATTCACTATTCTTTGCCAACACCATAATTCAAAGGCGTCAGTTCTTCTTCGGTCTTCCTTATTCACTGTCCAGCTTTCACATGCATATGCGGCAACTGAAAACACCATGGCTTGGGTCAGGCACACCTTAGTCTTCAAGGTGATTTTTTTTTTTTTAAAACACTTTAAAGAGGTCTTTTGCAGCAGATCTGCCCAGTGCACTATGTCGTTTGAGTTCTTGACTGCTGCTTCCATGGGTGTTGATTGTGGACTCAAGTAAAATGAAATCCTTGACAATTTCAATATTTTTTCCATTTATCATGATGTTGCTTATTGGTCCAATTGTGAGGATTTTTGTTTTCTTTATGTTGAGGTGCCTCATTGTTTGAATTATGTCCCTCAAAAAAATCTGTGTGTCAGTTTGGCTGGGCCATGATTCCCGGCATTGTGTGATTTTCCTATACGTTGTAAATCCTGCCTCTATGATGTTAATGAGGGAGGATGTGTGGCAGTTGTGTTAGTAAGGCAAGACTCAATCTACAAGATTGGATTGTGTCCTGAGGCAATCTCTTGAGATATAAAAGAAACAAGTGAGCAGAGAGACAGGGGGACCTCATACCACCAAGAAAGCAGTGCCAGGAGCATAGCGTGTCGTTTGGACCCGGGGTCCCTGCGCGGAGAAGCTCCTAGTCCTGGGGAACACCGATGAGAAGGCCGACAGGGAGAGAAGGCCTCCCCCTGGAGCTGACGCCCTGAATTTGGACTTTTAGCCTACTTTAAGAAGAAAGTGAAGAAACAAATTTCTGTTTGTTAAAGCCATCCACTTGTATTTCTGTTGTAGCAACACTAGATGACTAAGACAAGGTGTAACGCATACTGAAGGCTGTGGTCTTCGATCTTCTTCGGCAGTAAGTGCTTCAAATCCTCTTCACTTTAAACATGCAAGGTTGTGTCATCTGCATATCGAGGTTGTTAATGAGTCTTCCTCCAATTCTGATGCCCTGTTCTTCTTCATAGAGTCCAGCTTCTTGGATTATTTGCTCAGCATACAGACTGAATAAGTATAGTGAAAGGATATAACCCTGATGTATACCTTTTCTGATTTTAAACCAAACAACATTATATATATTTAAATTCTGAGAGCATTTTCTTACTCTTTAATTGTCCTTTTTTTTTCACAACATCTTGTTCTTGTTTCATGAATGCAATATTCTTTTTTTTATCTCTCTGAGAATATTAATTATCATTTTTAAGGTTATCTTTGACTCTCTGCTTTGTCTCTTTCTCTCAAGTGCGTCTACCCCACCTCCCTCTTTTGTTCTCTCCCTCGTTCAGGTTAGAGGCTTTTCCTAAAATGTCTGATGACTGTCACACTTATTTAAGCATAAATCCTGAAACAGCCAATTAGGAGCTCCTAGTGTCCCTGGTCTGAGGGAGGGAACAGGGCGGGGTGTCAGCTCACACAAGGGATGAGTGAACCTGTTGTCCCTGAGAAATGAGTCAAAGCGTAGGGAACATTCATTTATTTTTGCGGATGTGTGTGGACATTGATCTGCCATGCTGTCTGGTCTGGAATGTCCTGGAACCAAAATAAGCAAGCTCAATGTGCAGACCCAGCAGGCTTCCCGGGCTGGCACAGAGGAGGGGTTGGCAACCAGGGCTGGCTAGCACACCCCGCACCACTGGCTATGTCTGGGGTGACTGGGTAGCCAGGTCACTGGGATTGGGAGGAGGCAGGAATCTCCACCACCCGCAACCCCTGACTGGTTTGTGGGATCGAGAATCCACCCGCCAAGGTAGTCCACCCTGGCCGTTGAAGCTCATCTTTTCCACCCACTGCCCCCACTGCATGGGGCGGAGGGGTCTGCTGGGAGCTGGGGCAGGGCCCCAGGCTTCAGCCCTGCTCCATCACCTTGGGCTGCAGTTGTGATCCCTTTTGCAAACATCTGAACGGCCCACTCCCCTGGGGAAGGGAGACAGTCTCCACACCCTCAACTTCTTCTCCAAGGCCTCCTTTCTTGGGTCCTTCCAGCTGCAGAGGGTCCCCTGGGTGCTGGGGGGAGGTCAAGTCTGGGTCTCAGCTTTCAGATGGGAAGGGGCACGCCAGGGTGGGGGGCTCCAATGTCAGCCTGATACAGGCCATCAGGCCTCAGAGGACAGCCCAGGGAAGGGGACATGGACTGTCACAGCCACTCAGAGCCACAGTTTCCCCATCATCCCAGAAGAGGTTGCTGGGGTTTGTGCCATACCCCCAAGAGGTTATTCATTAACTGCTTTTTCAACCCAAGTGTGTATGAGCCGATACCTCACGTCTATAGTTTCCATAAGGAGCACTGATGGTGCAACAGTAAAGCACTCAACCGCCAACTGAAAGGTTGGCTGTTCAAACCCACCCAGCGGCATTGAGGGAGAGACACCTGGAGATCTACTCCCGTAAAGATTACAGCCTAGGAAATCCTATGAGGCAGATCTACTCTGTCACGTGGGGTCACTACGAGTTGAAAAACGACTCGATGGCACCCAGCAACAGCAGCAGAGTTTCCATGTCACCCCGATATCCTCCACGTTTGGGCTTCAGAAGGGAGGGGGAAGGCCACTAATACCCATTGGTATTCCTCTGGGCTATGGAGCATTCTGGTGGGGGAGACAAGGGGCTGGGGAACATGAGGCTGGGGAGGGGCTAGCCTGGGATGGGTACTGTGGCTAGAGAAGGGGGATGGAGAGGGTGGTGACCAGGCCTGTGGAGGTGTGCTCACACCGTGTCCCCTTCTGTCTCCCCCCAACCCCATCTGCCTCCCCGGCTCTGTCTGCCCGCCCACGCCTGTCCGCCCTCCCCCCCTTCCATTTCTGGTCGTCTCTTCCACCCTTTTCTTCTCCATATCGTCCTTCCTATTGATATTTCTGTTTTCCTGTCTCTTTGACCTTGTGCTTCTCTGTCCCTGCGTCTCTTTGTCCTTCTGCCATCTCTCCCTCTGTCGCTTTGTGTTTCCCTGCATTTCCTTCTCCGCTTTGGGCTGCCTCCCGCTGTGTCTGTCTTCCTCCCCGCCTTCCGGCGGCGCACCCTGCCTGTCTTCCCCCACCCGCCCGCGCGGTGGCGCTGCCTCCCGCTCATCCGCTCGCCCGCGCGCCGCCGCTCGCCCGCAGCCTGCAAGCGCAAGGAGCAGGAGCAGCAGAAGGAGCGCGCGCTGCAGCCCAAGAAGCAGCGCCTGGTGTTCACCGACCTGCAGCGGCGCACACTGATCGCCATCTTCAAGGAGAATAAGCGGCCGTCCAAGGAGATGCAGGTCACCATTTCGCAGCAGCTCGGGCTGGAGCTCAACACCGTCAGCAACTTCTTCATGAACGCGCGGCGCCGCTGCATGAACCGCTGGGCCGAGGAGCCCGGCACCGCCCCCGGGGGCCCGGCCGGTGCCACTGCCACCTTCTCCAAAGCCTGAGGCGCCCCAGCCCGGCGCCCCGCACCCTCCCTGCCTCTCGGGGCGCTGCCCTCCCACCTCTCCCCGCCCCCACCCTGCCGGCCCGGAGACTCGCCCCCAGGGGGCGCCTGGAGGAGGCTCTCCGAGCCCCCTACAACCAGGGAGGGGACGTGGCACACCCCCCCAAGCCCAAGTGCACAAAAAGGGCCTCCCTCCTTCCCAAACCCCTCCCGGCCAAAGGAAGCCCTCCATCCCCCCCACTCCCCAGAGGGGAGGGGGCTGACAGAAAGGAATTCCCCAGCCCCCTCTGAATTCAGGACGCCAGGGGGCCCCGAGAAAAACCAGGGCTCACTGTGTTGTCCCCTAAAGCGGGTCTAGAAGCACACACTAGAAATATAAACCGGGTATTTAAAAAAAGGAATTTTAAGAATAACCCCTCCCTCACCAGACCCCACCCCCCTAGAGACAGGCTGCAAGGGCCTTCCTTCCCACTTGGCCTCCTCGGAGGAAGTGCTCTGTGGCCCCCGTCAGCCCCTCCCCCAAGAACTAAGCCCCTCCCAAAGTCGCCAAAACCTATGTCTGGCTGGATCCTTACATTCCCCTACCCACGCCACAAGCCGACAACCGAGTCGGCGGGCAGAATTGCCCCCCAGTCAAGAACTGAGCGGCCCCTCCTAGAGGCCAGGATTCCTTGTGCCAAGAATTGCCTGCCTTAAAGTCTGGCGAGGGGGCCTGCCTCGGCAACCGCCCAGCACCCACAGGCGAGCACTCTTTCCCACCCCCATCCCAGACTGGAGGGAATGGCGAGCTCAAACATGCGGGTAAATTCCAGACGCCTCCCCTTCCCCGTCCCCCGACCATCCCTCCGTTTAGTTCACTTTACTTTTAGGCACCTTGGTGAATGACACACAGGGAAAGACACAACCCAGGAAACAGAAGAAAATATCCAGATTCCACCGAGAGGCGAACCCAGAGGCAGCGCCAGAGCCCCCCCATTGGGTTTCTACCTGCTTGGAACCCTCTGGAACTCCCCACCCCACCTCCCAGCCTTTGTGCAGATGCCGAACTGGGCCTCATGGGGGCGACGGGGGTGAACCTTGTGTTTGTTATATCTCTCTCCAAAGAGAGAAAGACGATACTGAAGAAGGTGGAATCTGCTTGCTCCATTTTTGCCAAAAAAAAAAAAAAAAAAAAAAAAAGATTACAAGGGGGAAGGGTCAGAAGTAAAGATGAGCCCCTCCCCGCACCCTCCCCTGCCGGTCTCCCCTTGTTTGGGTGACCTCCATGGCTGGTAGGCAGATGGATCCCAAGAGCCCGCCTCCCCCTCCCCCGGGGTTCAAGATGTGCAGGCTAGAAGGATCCCCCCCAACCCCTTCCCATCTACTGCCTCCCAGGGAGGGGGGCCACGCCACCCTCCCCCCTTGAGAATGCAAAAGACATTTCCGGTGAAATGCCCCTCCCCCTCCCCCCAGGTAAAGGCTACCTCACTCAAACGTTCATGTCTGTGATTGGAAAAATCACGCCTGATACCAAAGATTTCCCCAAGGACTTGTGCTGGATGCTAGAATTCCCTCACCTCCGGACCGGGTGTCTGTAAGCCCTCCTCCCTACCAGAGAGAGAGAGAGAGAGATGAGAGAGAGAGAGATGAGAGATGAGAGAGAGAGAGAGAATAGTGAGGTCGATGAGTGCCTTTTTCTTGAACCAAAGATGTGTGTGGAGTGTTCTCTTGTCCTTATCGACTCCCTCACTATTCCTCCAGATTTTCAAGCAACTGGATCTGAGTGATGCTTCTAGAACCTTTGGGTATTGGGGCAGAATCCTAAAAGTAAAAAGAGTCCCTTTCCTGATCAGCAAATCTCTCCCCCTAAAACACACGCACGTACACAGCACACACACACACACAGTGTATACACAACACTGTATACATACACTATACACACACACTATACACACATACCATATGTATACACATTGTACTACACACACACACACACACACACACACACACACACACACTGGCTCCTGTTCCTTTTTAGGGTGTCCCTGGGCACTGAGAGCTCCATTCTGGATGGCCGTGGCCCCTTTAACACACCTCCCACTAAAACCTGGGCCCCCATTTCTCCCCTCCCCGCCCCAGTTCCTGATGGACAGCTCAGAGTGCTCTGCCTACCCGAGGCTGAGCTCACTCATCCACTGGGCATAACAAGCCCACCGCCTGAGAGACTTTTGGAGGCCCCTGTAAATGTCCTAATTTCTTTAAAAATCAGAAGGAAAAACAAAATTTTTTTAATATATCCAATATGAATATAGTCGTCTGTATACAATGCAGTCATAAAATATTATTTTAAATTTTTTTTTTTTAACGGAAGAAGGGGCCCACATAGGTCACAATCGGCCCTGGCCCCATCCCCTTCACTTTAGAAAATTAGCTCTCTGGTTCTGCCTAGAGCGCTGGTGGCGCAGTGGTTAAGGGCTCAGGCTCTAACCAAAATGTCGCCAGTTTGAATCCACCAGCCACTCCTTGGAAACCACTATGACTGAGTTCTACTCTGTCCTACAGTGTCGCTACGACTAGACGGCAACTTTTTTTCCCTGGGTTGGTCCCAGCCACGGAGTTTCTCTGGTGCCCTCTGCCGGGCGGCCACTGACAAATCACTTATCTTTCCTTGGCCTTCAGACCCAAGGGTCAAATTTGAAGGCCTGCTGAGTCCTGGTTTGTCCCGTTGGAAAATTAAGAATTGGCTTGGGATTGTTCTTCTGGTGATGGAAGGAGATGGGGACCTATAGCCGGATTGGGTCAAATGCTACTGAGTCAGGTCACAGAAACGTCTCCAGGGCTCCTGGATCCTTTTCACACATAACACACACACACACTACACACATATACACACATGTACATACACACACATCACACAGACACACACATTCATACACACACATACATGCATGTACACACACACCAGCTCCAATCCCTCCCCTATCTTGACCAGCACCCCTCCACCAGGATCTCACTCCCAACCCTTCCCCATGGCCCCGTCAGCCCCCAGCCCCACACCGCCCCCCCCCCACCTCCCGGGTCTCCAGTACCCAGCTGGTTGCCACATACCAAAGATCATTCTCCACACGGGGAAGGACGCCTCCAGCACAATTCCTTTGAGCCTTTGACAATTCTCTCTGAAATACCTCAAAATATTTAATGTATAGTTTATGTGATTAAAAAAAAAACCCTTAGGTAGTTTTTGAAACACGTGACTTGAAGCTTTATACCGTTAAATTATAATTTTGCAGACGATGGCATGTGGTTTCTTTGACGAGTTCAGTGGGAGACATAATGAATGTCACCGCGATGGGAGATGGGTGGTCGGAGGCCAAAGACAGAGGGAGCGTGCGCGCGAGAGGCTGAGAGCGAGCGAGAGCGATGAAGGACCTGTGCGTTTACAGATTTCTTATTTAAACGAAGTCCTTTCGGAAAGAGAGGAAGAGAGAGAGATGGTAAAGCTTTGTGTACTCTGGTGCGTTCTGTTTCTTGTTTTTCGGAGTCGTGTCTTATAAGAGTATTTATTATTCTACGTGTTCTGTGTTCAAATGTAATTTAAGAGAAAAAAAAAGGAAGAAAAGTGAAAAAAAAAAGACGAAATGGAATTTGATGCATGACTAATGTACCCTTTCTAGAAGCTGATGTAATAAGTGATGGGGTTGGGGGGCGGGATGGGGGACGGGGCTGTTGGGTCGCGGCCCCAGGATTCCATGTCGAATCATCCTTGTACTTCATGCCCGACTGGGTGCTGTTTGGTGGTCCTTTGCGCTGCCCCGTGTCCCTGTCCCCCTTTCCATGGAACTGTGTCTGATGGCAGGGGGTGGAGAAGGTGGGGAGAAAGGGAGGAGGTAGACTGGGGAGGGCGGCAAGTCCAAGCACTAGGCCCAGGGTCTCCTCCACCCCCCGTCCTGTGCTCAGATGCCACCTGCCCGCCCCAGCCTCCCTGGGTCCAGGGGGCACATGTGTGCCATCACTCTCTTGGGCCAGCCTCCCACTCGGGTTGGTTTCACTTTAGCATGGATTCCTAAGTGTCTTGTTCAGAGGAGAGAGACAATCAGACAACAATCCACGTCTTGTCGTCCCGGGTGGTGGGGATGAGGTGTGCCCCACAACGTCCCCAGATCCAAAGGGTCCTTTGAGGTCCAGCGGGCACCAGCCCCAACTCTGGGACACTGCCCCTACTCCACCCAGGCCCTCTAAGCCCTCTTGGCCCTGGGCTGGGTGTGACTGCACCTTATATCCAGCCCAGGAGGCGGGAGACCTCCCTCCCAGCCCACTTTGGGGCCTCTGGGATGTCGCCCTGCCTGTGAGCCCACTCTTGCCATGAGGCCAGGTCTCTGAGCCACCCCCCACCTGAGCTCCTGGAGATGGAGAGATGGAGAGCTTGGCTTGGGGTTCCTTGTGCTTCCTTCCCTCAGAGGCCCAAAGGATTCAGGGATAGGGCAAGAGGGAAGAGGTGCGAGGGCCCACCTTCCAGGACAGGCCCCTGGTTGTGGAAGAGGGCTGGGGTGACCAAATGGGGTCCCTCACACCCAGTAGGACAGGAGGCCCCAGACTGGACCTGGAGCCAAGGGCTCAACCAACCTAAAATGATGGCAGGGGTGGGGGATACTCCAGGGTCCCCCCCACCCAGCCCCTGCGTCGGCTGGAACTTGGGCCATGTCACATTGTCCTGCCCAAAGTGGTCGAACTCAAATCAGTCCATCAGACCACAGCTCCTTCTTGCCACCCATTCAGACTCTCACCAAGGGCTGGTCTTTGGTGAGAGGGTTGTCTCAGCAGGGGGAAGGGGGGGGCCCAAGAGGTCACATGGTCAGAATCTAAGGGAGATAATGAATTATCCAAAGGCTGACTCCCCCACCGCCAATGGTAGAGGGAAGAAGCCCTCTCCACCCCCACCCACAGGCAACAGGCTTAAAACTTTAAAAAAATCATCATCATTGTTAACCATTGCTGTGTTGGGTTTGTTGTTTTGTTTTTCTTCAATAAATTATTTTCTAGTCACTCACCTCGGTGTGTGTGTTGGCCAGATGGAGGTGGGCACAAGAGAGGGAGGAATGGGATGCACCCACTGCCAAGATGGGAGGGAGAAAAGGGATGGAGGGAAGAGGGGATCTCACTCTCTCCAGCCCACCCCTCTCTGAACTCTGCCCTCTTCCTTGGTCACCGGTACTCTCTGAGCCCCCACCTCCACACTGCCCCCACCTTCTGTGGGACACAGTTAAGAATCAGAGAGAAAAGTTCAGTGCCTTTGTGTCAGCCAAGCCTCGAGATACAGATGTTGTCAGGACCTGCCAATTACACTCTTAGAGTCTAAGGTGGATGGTGGTTTATTTGAAGGGAAGAAATCAGGACAGCCTGTGGAGGGAGACACTGGATTGTGCCGGAACTGGAACTTACAAACTTCCCTGAGAGGAGCCAGCAGGCAGGCAGTGGAGGATCCGAGGTTGTTAAGCAGAATTTGCTCAGTACCTTTTCTCTCCTTTGAGAGCAATGAAGCTTTATCTACATTATCTATCCCATGGTGAAAGGAAAAGAAAAAAAAAGCACACGCACACACACACACACACACACACACACACACACACACGCACACACGCACGCACGCACGCACGCACGCACGCACGCACGCACGCGCGCGCGCACAAGCTTTCCCTGCAATTCCTTGGCCCGGTCACTAGAGGCCACTGTTTTGATTTTTAAAAACCAGGAAATAATATGCCGTACGGCATCACAAAAAGAAGTACAGGAAAGGGGAGCCTAAAGGAGTCATGGGTCAGATGGACCATGGTTTATTAGAAAAAGAAAAGGATGCAGAGCCCTTGTCCTCTGGGGAAAGCCTCCTGCTTCCTGGTTAACTACCCTAGCCCTGGGCAATTACTCCTTCTCTGGAGGAGGGGGTGGCTGCTCTGCCATTGCAGGCTGGAATTGGTCCTCGATGGTGACTGACAGCCACTCCATGGATGACGGCTGCCTCTCCAAGGTCCAGGGTTCAACCTCCATGGGCTGCTCAGTTACGAATGATTCTTCAGTAGGTGATGGTGGGATGTCTGGTTTTGGTTCTGTCTCCTTTCTGACGAAGAGATTCCTTTGCCAGATGAATGGCCACGGCAGTTTCCAGGTCCTCCAGAATGATGGCCTGTCCTTCAGAGAGACTGACTGGCTATCCAAAGGGGACGGTTGGTCTGAAGGCAATGGCTGACCCTCCGAGGGTTGTGGCTGACTCACAGAAGTTGACGGCAGGCTTTCTTCAGGCAACAGTGGCCTCTCCTGAGAAGAAGGTGGCCTCTGCCCAGGTGACAGTGACCTGTCCTTAGAAGGTGGCCTCTGCCCAGGTGATGGCGACCTATTTCGAGAAGGTGACCTCTGCCCAGGTGACTGAGATCTATCCCGAGGAGAAGGTGGCCTCTGCCCAGGTGAAAGTGACCTCGTGGTAATGCGTGACTTTGATTGGCTTCCCAAATCAGAAGGGACTTGTCTTTCTACAGTTAAGATTGAAGTGTCCATGGTGACAGGGCACATCCCCTCAGAGGATATCTTCTCCCTTTGCTGCTGCTTCCTCTTCACCAGGAATGACAGCCTCCTGGGATGCCAGGTTGGATCCCTGAAGCTCGGGGGAATCTCATCTTCAGATGGGGGCTGGTCATCATTCAGCAGCTCGCTGTTGGTGTCCCGTGCCCTCCGCATGATGGTGCCCTGAGTGATGAGGTTTGCGTAGCCCTCACGATGGGAAAAGGCATAGCTGGAGCGCCGGGCGCGTGATTCACGCTGTAAATACTGAATAGGCTCTACCATGATTTCCTCACTTGGGACCTCCTCCACCTGAGGAGCAAAGGGGACAGCAGGGGTCATCAGGCTCCTACACTCTGTGGTCTGGTCTGGGGGTGACCTGCCCCCTAGTGGAAGCTACTCAGAGCCCTTGGCCTCTGTTGATTGGCCAGGCTCTTCCCTAACAACTGGAGTCCTTCCCTGGGACTTTGGACCAGTGACTGGGTACTTCAGGCGCCCTCAGGTGGCAAAGCCAGGAGAGGCAAGCCTGGGGCAGCTGCGAGTCCAGCTGCGGGGAAGAAGATGGCCACAGCCGAGGAGGGATAAACAGAAGGTGGCAGGTTCACGGCCATGTCCTGGTCCACCATCCCAGTCAATTCTGGGTCCCGTCCCAGCTGCCAGCCTGACCTTCCATGTTTTGGCTATGTGAGCCATTGAGCTCCTCCTTTTGCCTCAACCATTTCAAGGTCAATTTTGTCACCTCCACCCCCAAGCCCTAGAAAATTCTTGGCCAAAGCCCTACAGTGTCAGCATTCGAATCCAGGCTGGCCTCTTGAGGGCTCTCAGATGCCAGCATCCCAGGAAGTGTGGCCTCTGCCCTTGTCCCCCTCTGAGGACACTGGATCCCATGCCAGGGTTTCCATCCCCACACTTTCCCACAGCCCCATGTCTCTGGCTGATGGGGTCCCAGGAGCGTGCCATGGGGAGCCCAGCCCCAGGATGGCCTCACCTTGGGGCGTGGCTTCTTGACAATTTGGTATATGATGCGGAAGGCCAGGACAGACACGGTGTTGAGTGACACATTCAGCAGGATCACCAGCAGGGCGAAGGGCTGGGACAGCACGTTGCGGTCGGCATCTGAGGACAGGGGTAGGGTCATGGCACTGCCTGGGGAGGAGCCACCCCCAGAGCAGCTCAGGTGGGGGGTTCCTTCCCCTCCCCTTTCCCGGGACATCACTAGCCCATAGGACACCTTTGTGCAAATTCAAAAAAGGTGCTGTTATGAATTGAAATGTGTCTCCCAAAAAAGCGCGTTGGAAATTGTTGAACTGGTGTTATGTTCTGCTGTGTATATTTTCAACAATAACAGTAAAAAGAAATCAATAAGTAATTATTTTTAAACGTGTTGAAGAATAAGTAAAGCACTACTGAAGAAGAAGAATAAAGTAGGAGGACTCACACTATCTGACTTCTGAACAGCGACTGTGGTCAAAACAGCCTGGTACTGGTCCAAGGACAGACACATAGACCAATGGAACAAAATTGAGAACCCAGATGTAAATCCATCCACCTATGGTCACCTAATCTTCAACAAGGGCCCAAAGTCCATCAAATGGGGAAAAGAAAGTCTTTTTAACAAATGGTGCTGGCAAAACTGGATATCCATCTGCAAAAAAATGAAACAGGACCCATACCTCACACCGTACACAAAAACTAATTCAAAATGGATCAAAGAGCTAAATATAAAACCAAAAACTATAAAGATCATAGAAGAAAAAATAAGATCAATGCTAGAGACTCTAATACACGGCCTTAACAGGATACAAACCATAACCAACAACACACAAACTCCAGAAGATAAGCCAGATAACTGGGATCTTCTAAAAATCAAACACTTAGGCTCATCAAAAGACTTCACCGAAAGAGTAAAAAGAGAACCTACAGACTGGGAAAAATTTTTTGGCTATGACAAATCTGACAAAGTTCTAATCTCTAAAATCTACAGGAAAATCCAACACCTCTACAACAAAAAGACAAACAATCCCTTTAAAAACTGGGCAAAGGAAATGAACAGACACTTCACCAAGGAAGACATTCAAGTGGCTAACAGACACGTGAGGAAATGCTCGCGATCACTAGCCATTGGAGAAATGCAAATCAAAACCACAATGAGATACCAATTCACCTAGGCATTACAAGCACGAATCAAAAAAACAGAAAATAACAAATGTTGCATGGCTGCGGGGAGATTAGAACTGTTATGCACTGTTGATGGGAATGCAAAATGGTACAATCGTTTTGGAAAATGATATGGCGCTTCCTTAGAAAGCTGGAAATAGAAATACCATATGATCCAGCAACCCCACTGCTAGGAATATATGCTAGAGAAATAAGAGCCATCACACGAATAGACATATGCACACCCATGTTCATGGCAGCACTGTTCACAATAGCAAAAAGATGGAAACAGCCTAGATGCCCACCAACAGATGAATGGATAAACAAACTATGGTCCATACACACAGTGGAGTACTAGCCAACGAGAAAGAACAACGATGAATCTGCGAAGCATCTCACAACATGAATGAATCTGGAGGACACTATGCTGAGTGAAATAAGTCAATCACAAAAGGACAAATATTGTATGAGACCACTATTATAAAAACTCATGAAAAGGTTTACACACAAAAAGAAAAAATCTTTGATGCTTACAAGCGAGGGGTGGGGATGGAAAAACACTAAATAGACAATAGATAAGTAGTAATTTTGGTGAAAGGTAAGACAGTACACAGTACCGGGGATGCCAGCACTACTTGTAAAATGCAAGGTCATGGAAGCTCCATAGACACATCCAAACTCCCTAAGGGACCAAATTACTGGGCTGAGAGATGGGGATCACGGTCTCTGGGAACATCTAGCTCAATGGGCATAACACAGTTTATAAAGAAAATGTTCTACATTCTACTTTGGTGAGTAGTGTCTGGGGCCTTAAAAGCTTGTAAGCAACCATCTAAGATACTCCACTGGTCTCACCCCTTCGGGAGCAAAGAAAAATGAAGAAAACGAAAGACTTAAGGGAAAGATTAGTCCAAAGGACTAACGGACCACGACTATCATGGCCTCCACCAGACTGAGTCCAGCACAACTAGATGGTGCCTGGCTACCACCACTGACTGCTCTGACAGGGATCAAACAGAGGGTCCCAGAGAGAGCTGGAGAAAAAGGTAGAACAAAATTCTAACTCACCAAAAAAAAAAAAAAAAGACCAGACTTACTGGCCTGACAGAGACTGGGGAAACCTTAAGAGTATGGCCCCTGGACACCCTTATAGCTCAGTACTGAAGTCACTCCTGAGGTTCACCCTTCAGCCAAAGATTAAACAGGCCCATAAAATAAAATGAGACTAAAGGGGCACATCAGTCCAGGGGCAAGGACTAGAAGGCAGGAGGAGACAGGAAAGCTGGTAATAGGGAACCCAAGGTCGAGAAGGGATGAGTGTTGACATGTTGTGGGTTGGTAACCAATGTCATAAAACAATATGTGTACTAACTGTTTAATGAGAAGCTAGTTTGTTCTGTAAACCTTCATCTAAAGTACAATATTAGCCTGGCTACCACCAATGACCTCCCTGACAGGGAACACAACAGAGAGTCCCTGACGGAGCAGGAGAAAAGTGGGGTGCAGAACTCAAATTCTAGTGAAAAGACCAGACTTAATGGTCTGACTGAGACTGCAGGAACCCCAGAAAGCAAGGCCCCCAGACTCTCTGTCAATCCAGAACTAAAACAATTGCCAAGGCCAACTCTTCAGACAAAGATTGGACTGGACTATGGGACATAAAATGATACTCGTGAAGAGTGTGCTTCTTAGCTCAAGTAGATACATGAGACTAAATGGGCAGCTTCTGTCCGGAGGTGAGATGAGAAGGCAGAGAGGGTCAGGAGCTGGTTGAATGGACATGGGAAATCCGGGGTGGAAAGGAGGAGTGTGTTGTCACAGTATAGGGAGAGCAATTAGGGTCACATAACAACGTATGTATAAGTTTTTGTATGAGAGACTAACTTGAAATGTAAACTTTCACTTAAACTACAACAATAAAAAATAAAAATAAAGTACAATAATTAAAAAAAAAAAAAACTAGGTCTCATACCCCCCCAAAAAAATTGTGTTGGAATCCTAACCTTTATACATACAGAGGGAGCCTTAGTGGTGCAATGGTTGAGCACTCAGCTGCTAACTGAAAGGTCGGCGGTTCACCCTACCATCGGCTTCTCGGGAGAAAGACCTGGAGATCTGCTCCTGTAAAGATCACAGCCTAGAAAACCCTATGGGGCAGTTCTACTGTCAGGTAGGAAATCGACTCAAAGGCACCCAACAACCTGTGTATGAGTGTGATCCTAATTGGAATTAGGGCTTCATTACCATAACAAAAAATCCTATCAGTGCAGGATGTGCCTCAAATCAATCCCTTTTGAGATATAGAAGGAGCAGCTTAGGCACAGAAGCAAGCAAGGACAAATGGGGGAAAACAGATGCCAAGTGGAGGTGGCCAAGGAACTCCGAGAAGAAGGCTAGAGAAGCTGAGACAAGGGTTTTCCCCCAGAGCAGACGGAGAGAGAGAGAGCCTTCCTCTAGAGCCGGCACCCTGAATTCAGACTTCTAGCCTCCTAAAGGAGTCCTGGCGGCGCAGTGGTTAAGAGCTCAGCTGCTAACCCAAAGGTCGGCAGTTGGAATCCACCAGCTGCTCCTTGGAAACCCTATGGGGAAGTTCTACTGTGTCCTACAGGGTCACTATGAGTCAGAATCGACTTGACGGCAGCAGGTTAATGGGTCAGCCTCATAAAGTGTTTAAGAGCCCTGGTGATGTAAACAGTTAAGTGCTCAGCTGCTAACGAAAAGTTGGTGATTGGAACCCACCCAGCAGCTCCTTGGGAGAAAGACCTGGGGATCTGCTTCCGTAAAGGTCACAACCCATCAAAGGACGTGAATAGAACCTTCACCAAAGGGGACATCCAAGCACTCAGCAACCACGTGAAGAGATGCTCACGATCATTAGCCATTAACCAAACCAAACCAAACCCATTGCCGTCAAGTCGATTCCGACTCACACTGACCCTACAGGACAGAGCAGAACTGCCCCATACGGTTTCCAAGGAGCAGCTGGTGGATTTGAACTGCCCATCTTTTGGTTAGCAGCTGAGCTCTTAACCACTGTGCCACCAGGACTCCCATTAGCCATAAGAGAGAAGCAAATCAAAACGAAAATGAGATACCATCTTACACCCGATTAAAATAGCACTGATTAAAAAAACGGATAACAACAAATGTTGGTGAGGCTGTGGGGAGATTGGAACCCTTATCCACTGCTGGTGGGACTGTAAAATGGTACAACCACTATGGACAATGGTATGGCACTTCCTCAAAAAACTAGAAACAGAACTATCCTACAATCCAGCAATCCCACTGCTGGGATATACCCGAGAGACCTAAGAACAGACGTATGCACTCCCGTGTCCATTGCAACTTTATTCACAATAGCAAAAAAGTGGAAACAAGTAAAGCGCCCATCAGTGGATGAATGGATAAGCAAAATGTGGTACATACATACAATAGAATACCACGCAACCAGAAAGAACAACGAAGAGTCCACAAAACACAATGATAAAGAACAATGATGAATCCTTGAAACATCTCATAACATGGATGAATCTGGAAGGCATTACGCTGAGTGAAATTAGTCAGTCACGAAAGGACAAATACTGTGTGAGATCACTATTATAAGAACTCAAGAAAAGCTTTAAACACAGAAGAAAACATTCTTTGATGGTTACAAGGGTGGGCAGAGAGGGAGAGGGGAATTCACTAACTAGATAGTAGACAAGAATTATCTTAGGTGAAGGGAAGGACAGCACACACTACAGGAGAAGTCAGCACAACTGGACTAAACCAAAGCTAAGAAGTTTCCTGATTACAATCAAACACTTTGAGGGACAGAGTAGCAGTGGTGGGGGTCTGGGGACCATGCTTTCAGGGGACATCTAGGTCAACTGGCATAGCAAAGCTTATTAAGAAAATGTTCTACATCCCACTTTGGTGAGTGGCGGCTGCGGTCTTAAACGCTAGCCAGCAGTCATCTAAGATGCATCAATTGGTCCCAACCCACCTGGAGCAAAGGAGAATGAAGAACACCAAAGTCACAAGGAAAGTATTAGCCCAAGAGACAGAAAGGGCCACATAGACCACAAACTCCATCAGCCTGAGACCAGAAGAACCAGATGGTGCCCGGCTACCACCAATGACCGCCCTGACAGGGAACACAGCAGAGAGTCCCTGACAGAACAGGAGAAAAGTGGGGTACGGAACTCAAATTCTAGTAAAAAGACCAGACTTAATGGTCTGATTGGAGGAACCCCAGAAGACATGGCCCCTGGACTTTCTGTTAACCCAGAACTAAAACCACTCCCGAGGCCAACTCTTCAGACAAAGCTTAGACTGGACCATGGAACATAAAATGATATTCGTGAAGAGCGTGCTACTTAGTTCAAGTAGACACATGAGACTAAATCAGCAGCTCCTGTCCGAAGGTGAGATGAGAAGGTAGAAAGTGACAGGAGCTGGTTGAATGGACGTGGGAAATCTGGGGTGGAAAGGAGGAATCTGTGGTCACATTACAGGGATAGCAACTAGGGTCACATAACAATGTGTGTATAAATTTTTGTATGAGAAACTAACTTGAGCTGTAAACTTTCACCTAAAGCACAATTAAAAAAAAAAAAAAAAAGAGTCCGCGAAACATATTATAACATGGATGGACCTAGAGTGCATAATGCTGAGTGAAATAAGTCAAGCACATAAGGACAAATACAGTATGATCCCTCTTTTATAAGAAGACAAGAACAGACATTTATAAAGGGACCAACGTTCAATGGTGATTACCAGGGGGAGGAGGTAAGGGAAGGAGAAGCACGCTCTAGATGGTAGGAACTTGTTGTTTTGGGTTATGGAAAAAGTGGCACCAAATGTGGGTGCAATGAACACAGCTTGATCAAAGTAAATGATGTGTCTGAGAAGCGCTCATGAGAAAAGGATGCTTGCACCAAAGAATTTGACGTATACAAGAGGGCAACAAATCCAAGAAAGAGCAAAAAATGAGTCTAAGGTCACCTAAGGACGGGTATAGGCATGTATGTATGTGCGTAAGTACACGTGTGCGGAGCCCTGGTGGCACAGTGGTTAAGAGCTACAGTGAGCTACGGCTGCTAATGGAGGTACGCATATGTGAGAACAGATAGAAGTATCTATATGTATGTGTAAATACAGATATGTGTAGGCAGGCACATATGGTCATTGAAGACACAACTATGGATACCCCTCAGACATCACCAAACACCTTCCAAGATCAGTTTTCTGGGTTTGAAGGCTTAGGACCATAGTCTCATGGGACAACTCAGTCAATGGACATAATACAGCTCACAAAGTTCATGTTCTGCATCCTAGTGAAGTGAGTAGTGTCTGGCGTCTTAAAAGCTTGCGAGCAGCCATCTAAGATATAACTATGTGTCTCCACTCATCAGGAGCAAAAGAATAAGAAGGTAACCAAAATCACAGAGAAGAAACAAGTCTACAAGGCTGACAGCCTACACAAGCCATGACCTCAACTTTCCTGAGATCAAAAGAACTAGATGGTGCCCGGCTACCACCACTGATGGATCTGACCACTGGCACAATAGACGATCCTGTTTAGAATGGGAGAAAAATACAGAACAAAACTCAAATTCATAAAAATGGCCAGACTAACTGGACCACTGAGACCAGAAGACTCCCTGAGACTATTGCCCCGAGACGCTCTTCAAATCTTGAACCAAAAATACCCCCTGAGATCACCTTCTAACAGAAAAGCAAAGTGACACACAAAATAAAGGACATTACCTGTCAGATCAGCGCTCTACTAAAAAAAAAAAAAAACACCTATGTGAGTCCAAAGGTTAACATTTATTCCAAAGCAAAGATGAGAAGATAAGGGGGCAGGGAAACTAGAGTACTGGAAATGGAACAACCAGAACACAGGTAAAGAGAACGTTAACACAATGTGAAAAACGTAACTAATGTCATTGATCGATTTGTGTGGAAATTGTCAAAGGGGAACCTAACTTGCTGTATAAACTTTCACCAAAAACACAATAAAATATGATTAAAAAAAAAAAGATTACATCCCAGAAAATCCTATGGGGCAGTTCTATGCTGTCACATGGGGTTGCTATGAGTCAGAATCGACTCAAGGGCACCCAACAACAACACACTGTGAGGACGTAAATGTCTGTTAAGACCACCGCCTTGTGCTATTTCTCTGGTGGCAGCTCTTGGAGATTGGAGGACCATCCACTCCTGGAGGCGCTCAGCGGGACATCTGTCATGACAAATCTGCAATGCTGCAATCCCCTCAGGCCCATGTGGAGGGGGGCTCCTGCATCACGTCGGTCCCCACTGGGCAGCCAAGGTGGCTGGGGCTGGGTGGGGCCACTTGGGAGTGCGGGCGCATCTGGGACCCCGCCCACTCCGCCCACACGGGAGTCCTTACACAGGAACGGGAAGGTCCGGGGCGAAGTCTTAAAGAGCCACAAACTCTGAGAGGCACAGGTTATGATGGCGTAGCAGGAGAGGCTCAGGAGGATGGCCAGCACAGTCAGGATGGTCCAGTACTTGATGATCAGGATCACCTTCGTGGGGAGGAAGGAGATGAGTCCGTGGGGAGGGGGTCCTGGGAACACCTGCGGCTGGGTCTGTGGCTACATGTCCCAAGGCTCCCAGTGGTACCTCCATGGTGACGGACAGCAGGCCCGACAGGGCCAAAATGACACCAAAGGACTGGTAGTCACTGAAGCTGAAGGGCCCCCCGTTGTCATGACAGGCTACCAGGGTCACAAAGAAGTTGATGAGGGAGGTGGCCATGCCATGGGCCAGGGCTTGGAAGAAGACCCAGTAGTTGAAGAGCTCCTCCTTCTGCCCTGCAATGTACAGCTCCGGCATCTGTAGGCTCTTCTTGGCACTCACATCCTAGTAGGAGGGGGGAAGGGCAGAGACAGGGCAGAGAGGCAGGCTTCTGGGATAGGTAGGGACACCCATCAAAGTTCTAGCCCCTTGCCCCATGTGGCTCTTGACATTTAAGACGAATTACAAAGAAATAAAATGTAAGACTCCATTCCTGCGTTTTGATCAAAGAGTCTACAGAAGAATCCTGATCAAAAGGGGTGAAATGTGGAACAGAATTTCAAATTCTAATGGTGTCCAGACTTTCTGGAGCCACTGAGGCTGGATGAACCCCCGAAACTACTGCCCTGAGATAACCTTTAAAGAACCTTAAACTATAAACCATCCCCTGAAGTCTTCTTTAAACCAAACAATGGCATAGCTTTAGTTAATAAAGAATGCCCGCCTCGAGCATTGTGCTCTTTTAAAGAGTTATGAATGTGGGATTAAATGGAGAACAGCAACTTAAAAGGTTAGATGAGACCCTTAGGAGGCAGTGAGTTTATGTTAATGGTGGAGGAATAATTTGGAAAAGGAGGGTGAGAATGGCTGCACAGCTTGAAGAACGTAACCAATGTCACTGAACTGCACATGGAGAAATTGTTGAATTGGTATATGCTTTGGTGTGTATATTTCCACACACAAAAAAGAAACTGCTTTTAAAAAATGAGAAAATAAACCAGTAAAATAAAATTCCATTCCTGGGTTGCACTAGCCACCTTTCAAGTGCTAGACAGCCACGGCATGTGACCAGTGACTGTCCTACAAGACAGTCCAGATGGGGAACACTTCCATCATTGCGGAAAGATTGGAAGGCCTTACTTCAGCTCACTTAGCCGGAGCCTCTCAAGGCTGGGGGTGGGACCAACGTAGGAGGCCCCCTCTCCCCGTGGTGCAGACGGGCAGACAGTGGAGCCAGGATTCTAGGGGACCTCCCACAAAGGAGAACGGAGAACAGGAGGGCTCCGTCCACTGATCCCAGGATCAGGCTGAACTCTGGCTGTAAGTTAAATGATCTCAGGCAGGGGGAGAGGGGCCACCCTGAGCCCCACCCAAACCTTTCCCAGGGCCTGATGGTCACCCGGCCCTGCTCTGCAGAGGTCCCTGACCGGCCCCAAAGGTGGAGAAGGGGAGGGGAGATGCTCACCTGCTCAAAGAGGCCGATGTAGAGTACGGGGAGGGTGGAGTACAGGAGGTTGAAGAGCGCCAAGAACCAACCTTCATACAGAGGCTGTGGTGGGGGGGTGGTGAGGAAGGGTCGGTCTTGGAGGTCAAACCACCCATAACAGAGGCCCATCTTGACCTGAGGGGCCCCACCGAGCTAGCCGGGCACCTGGGGAGGATTCCCGGTGAGTTAGAAAGTCGCCTTCTAATCAAGGCTGGGGCTGAGACCAGGGTTGGGCTAATGGAGCTTGATAAAGATGGGAGGAGAAAGGGCGGAGAGAAAAATGCACAGCTGAGCCCCTGGACCCTAAGTCTTTTAAAACCCTTGAGTTGTGTCTGTGTGTGTGCTTTTTTAAATTGGATAGCTTCAGTAAGGAGTCGTTCTTGTTGCTGGGTGCCATTGAGTCAATTCAGACTCATAGCGACCCCATGTGAGACAGTAGAACCGTGCAGTGGTTAAGCGCTCGGCTGCTAACCAAAAGGTTGGCAGTTCAAATCCACCAGCTGCTCCTTGTTAACCCCACAGGGCAGTTCTACTCTGTTCTATAGGGTCACTATGAGTCGGAATCGACTCAGCGACAATGGGCTTGGTTTTTTTAATTTTTATTTTTAATCTTTACGGGAGCAGATCACCAGGTGGTTCTCCCTCGGAGCTGCCGGTAGGTTTAAACGAGCACTTAACCTTCGGACCACCAGGGCTCCTTACAGAAATTAATGGGAAAGGCTGAAGAATGAGCCGTGTGATATGGGACTGGATCCAAGCCATCGGTGTGGGCGACGAGGACCCCAGCACAGCAGCACAGCCCAGCACCTGGGCGGTGAAGCCACTGTAGAAGGCGAACCAGATCTGGGCCATCATGCTCGCCAGCGTCTTGTAGATGAAGTAGCGCAGAAACTTGCAGACACGCATGTAGGACCAGCGCCCGTGCACCAGCAGGAGGCGCTGCAGGAAGCAGAACTGGGCCAGCACGTAGTCGCTGTTCTGCACCGCCTGCATGCCCTCCTGGCCCACCAGGCCCACGCCGATGTCCGCCGCTGCGGGGCCAGGGCAGCCTGTCGGCCGGGCCACCCAGGGCGCCTCCACCCCGCCCCGCCGCCGTACCACCCCCGGGCCGCCTCCTTCCCAGCACCCTCCCATCACCCCGAGGACCGCCCCTTCCCCCCCATGATTGCCCCTCGGGCCGCCCCTAAGGCCTCTCTCCCCAGCCCTAATGACCGCCCCCGGACTGCCCCCTGGGCCAACCCTGCCCGCTGCCCACTGCTCACTCTTGATCATGTTCACGTCGTTGGCGCCGTCCCCAATGGCCAAGGTCACGACGCCCTGGTGTTTCCGGATGAGCGTCACGATCAAAGCCTTCTGCTTGGGCGTCACCCGGCAGCAGATGACCGCCTGGCAGTGCACCGCCAGGTCCACGAAGGCCCGCTCGCGCCTCACCTCGGGGCTCTCGTGGGGCTTGGCACCCCTCAACCGCAGGGTCTCCCGCATACCCCCCAGCTGCTCCACGAAGGAGCGCCACATCTGAGGCAGCCGCCAGGTTGGCGAGGCCTCCTGCTGCTGGTTAGGCTCCTGCCAGGCCTTTTCGGCCAGCACGTTCTCGTGCAGGGTCTTCGACTTGTCCTTCGAGGATGGGATCATCAGCTGGTCCTGGCCCACGGGGAGCAGGGGCCTTGTCACACTCTGCCTGCAGCCCCTCCGTTAATGCTCCCCAAACGGCCCACGGAGGCCCAGCTCAGGCGTCCTTCCAGGCTTCCCAGGATTCCCCGCCTCTTCCTGGTACCCCTCGACCAGTCTCCCCCCAGGCCTGCCCGGGCAGCACCCCTCCCTGGCTCCAGCCCCGCTAAGTCCAAGTTCAAGGTGTGGCTTTCAAGGCCCTTCAGCCTCAGCTTGTCCAGCAGCCCATCCGTAGGGACCCTTCCTGGCTGCCCCGGGCCCCGCCCGAGGCTCCTCCCAGCCTCCCCTTCTGTACCAGAAACCAGAGCCACCGACACTGACCAGGAAGTCCCCTGTGATGACCATGGCCGTCTGGACCTGCTGCAAGAAGCGGCCCTTCCCGTTCTGCAGGCTGTTGTTGCTGTCCCAGTAACCCTCCAGCATGTGGCTGCGGGGCCGACAGGGGTCAGCCACACAAGCCAGCCCAGCCCCTCCCACCTTGCGCCTCGGATTCCCCTGCCCAGGAGTGGGAGAAGGGCCCTCAGAGAGTCCAGCCAGATCCCCTGGGGCCACACCTGGGCCGTGGGTGCCCCCAGCGCTGCCCCCTTCCATCCTCCCCCCTCCACAGCTCACACTATTTCTTTCTCCTCCAGAATGATCATGTCCTCTGAGAGAAGTTGGCAGGCAAAACCGATGTTCACCGCCGTCTCTGCAAACCAGCCTCGCTCAGTCCCACTGGCCCCAACCCACCGGGGACCCCTGCCTCGGCCACACTCATCCTGCCCACAACCCTTAGGGTAGAACCCTGGGCTGGACCCAGACCTCGCCAATCATCGCAGCATGTTCTGCCCCTAGGCCACAACTATTGGTTCAGAGAAGGTCATGTAACCCAGACCTGGCCAATCACGGCACATCCTACCCCCTGGACACGTTGATTGGTTCAGAGAAGGACATGTGCCCCAGGCTGGCCAATGAGAGCCAGCCCTGAGACTTTGGCTGCCATTCTGAGCAAACAGCCTCCCTTTGGGCTGGTTGAGGCAGGCTGGTAGAGGGGTGTGAGTCTGGGACCCAGGGCTGGTCCAGGAGGTCCCATGGAGGTCCCCAGCACTCAGAACTACCTGACCATTAGGCACAGTGCCTTGGGTCCATGATAACTTTTAGGGGGCCCATGAAAATCTTAATTTATTTTAAAATCATAAGGAGCAAAGTTAACACAATCCAACCTGTATGACAGTGGTGTTTATATCAGTGCAGTCATAAAACAACATTTCTAATATTTTTCATAGAGGAAGGGGCCTGTGAAGGTGAAAGTGCCTCAGGCCCCCAAAAGTCCTAATGTGGCCTTGCCGGCACCCTCCTCACCCCTCTAGACACCCAGCCGGCCCCAGCAGGAGGGGCGTGTTCCCTCGCGGATGAGTCTAAGAGCCCCGGGGCCAGAGCACCTGAAGGTCAAGCTCAGCTCTGCTCCTAAGGTGCCGGGCCACCTCCAGCAGGTGTCCCCAGCTCTCCGAGCCTGGCTTTGCCCATCTGTCACATGGGGTCATGACAGACCCGCCTCGCAGCATTACTGTGGGGGTGAGGTTCTCATCTGGCACTCTCCTTGGGGAGTTGCAGCTGTTATTACTATTCACGTTGTTATTTTGAATCCTCCCCGTTTCTCCCCTTCCCAGAGACCCCACGTGGAGGGCAGTGTAGTTGTGGGGTTGCCTTGAGTTGATTCTGACTCACAGGGACCCCGTGTGACAGAGCAGAACTACCCCATGGGGTTCCTAGGCCGCCATCTTCACGGGAGCAGATCACCAGGTCTTTCTGCTGAGGAGCCGCTGCGTGGGTTTGAAATGCTGACCTTTCGGTGAGCAGCCGATCACTTAACATGGCACCACCAGGGCTCCTTTGGAGGGCAATGCTTAACCCAAAAGACTGGCCCGGGCTGATGGCGAAGGTTTGGGCAGGCCCCCTCCCTCCTCCTCCCCACACTGGGGGTTGGGCCCACCGTGCGCTGAGGGCACCTACCTAGCTTGTCCCCCGTCAGCACCCACACTTTGATGTTCCCGTTCTTGAGGCACCTAATGGTGTCCGGAACACCGTCCTGCAGTCTGTCCTCAATGGCGGTGGCTCCCAGCAGCTGGGTGTGAGGGGAAGGGGACTGAGCTGGCGCCCAGCTCCCCAGCAGTGGGCGGGGACCCCGCCTGCAGACCCTGGGCCCTGCCAGCTGTCCCCCCGCGCCAGCCCACCTGGAGGTTCTGCTCCATCTCCTCATACAGCTGGTGCAGGGCCTGCGCCCGGTTCTGCAGCAGGAGGTTGGCTTCCTGGTGCCGCAGGCTCCAGGCCTCGTATGCGTCCTTGTCCACCTCCTTGTAGGCCAGGCACAGCGTCCGCAGGGTCTGTTCCGCGAAGGCCTGGGAGGTGGTGGGTGCGTCACCGCCCTGCCACCCCGCCCTCTCCTGCCCGCCACACCCACCCTGGCTTCTTTCTGTCTGGCTCCAGCCCCCTGACGCTGGCCCCGCTCCCTGAGCTCCCCCAATCCTCCCTGGCCTCTCCACAGCAGCAGAGGGCGCTCTGAGGACCCTGGCCCATGCTGCCTCGGCCCCCCAGGGACACCCAGGCCTTTGTGCCTCTAAGTCTGTGTACATGCCATTCTCTGTCAGGAGCACCTTGGAACAGTCTCAACAGTCTCATTATTCCTCAAGACCCACTGTGGGACCCCCGCAGTTCTCCCGGGCCCCTCCCCAGGCAGTGCTCCCCTGTCCCCAGCCCCAGCCATTCCTCGGACTCCTGGGCTGGAAATCTCCATAGGGGCTCTGACTCCGACAAGGGCTGGGCCCAGGCTGCCGGGGTGGGGCAGGGGGGTGCAGGGGGCAGAAAAGGGTCCTCTGACCCTCCATCTCTGTGTATGGCCCCAGGAAGGTGCCCCTCACTAGTTCGGCCTCCCCCTCCTTTCTGCCCCCACTGATGGCCCCAGGCCTGAGTGAGCCGGGGCAGGGGCCAGAGAGGTGGGGCTGGGGCTGAGGAGATTCGGCTTCAGCCACGGAGGGCAAAGATTTGGGGCTGGCAGAGCTCAAGGCGTCCTGGAACCCAGGCCTGGCGGGGCGTTAGGGAAACAGTTTTAGTGAGCTGTCGAGTCGGTTCTGACTCACACGGACCCCATGTGACAGAGTAGAACTGCCCCGTGGGGTCTCCTAGGCTGTAGTCTTTACAGGAGCAGATGGCCAGGAGCCTCTGGGTGAGTTCAAACCACTGACCTGTCTGTTAGCAGCTGAGCGCTTAACCGTCCTGCCACCAGGGCTAGGGGAGCGGTGTGCAGGGCTAAGGGCTACTCGCAGGGGGCCCTTGTGTGAATTAGAAGTCGCCCCTCGGGGCAGGCACAGCTTGAAGTCCAGCCCCCTCCCAGCCCGCGCCCGTGGTAGGGGGAGAAGGGCAGTGCCTTTGCCCAGTGCACAACCGTGGCCGCCCTGGGTGCCTGAAGCCCTTTCTCTGCGAACTTCTCTCCCCACCCCTGCCGCCGCCACCAGCACCGCAGGGACTCACGGCCAAGGCCTCCTCCGTGGCGGTCTCTGTCACGTCTCTCTTGGACAGCCGCTGGAAGAGGACCATGTCAGCGCCCTTGGTGTAGAGGCAGATGGAGCCCTCGGGGTTGCGGACTGTGGGGGGAGGCGGGGAGAGGCCCAGTTGGCCACGCGGGCTCCCCTCTTCCCTTCCACGCCGGGCGGGGGTACGGGCCCGGGACCTGCGGCGGTGGGCGGCTCACCCAGCACCGACATCCGCTTGCGGACGCTGTTGAAGTCCATCATGGCCAACACCTCGTAGACGCGCTCTTGCCCCAGCTCCACCACGGTGATGGTGTCCTGTGTGCGCGACAGGAACACGTAGCCGAAGTTCCGGGCGGCCGTGACCAGCGCCTCCTCGTCGGGGGAAGCCGCCTGGTACAAGAGCTGGTCTGGAGCGGCGGAGGGGAGAGGGGACCACGGGGCACAGTCACCGAGAGCTGGCTGCACACACTGTGACGGGTCCCCCCACCCCAGCACCCAGTAGGCACTCAACCAACATAGATGCCACGGCAGTGTCCTGGGCCTGGACAGCCTGTGAGTCCGTAAAAGAATGTGGGCACTTGGGCCCTGTTGTGGATTGAACTGTGTCCCCCAAAAAGTTATGTGGAAGTCCTAGCCCCTGTTCCTGTGAGCGTGACCCGGGTCGGAAACAGGGGTGTGTTTTCTTTGGTCATCGTAATGAGGTCCTGCGGGAGCAGGGTGAGGCCTAAACCTCAGCCCTTTGGAGGGGCGTCTCGGAAAGAGAACAGGATAGACGCAGACACAGACAGGGAAGACGGCCAGCGAGGAACGCCTGGGGCTACCAACAGGGAAGGACTCTCCCCTCAAGCCCACGGACATTCTGATCTGGAGCCCAGCACCCTGACCCGAGACGGTAAGCGCCCGTCTTTAAAGCCGCTGCTGGGTCATCTTTGTTGTTGCTGCTGCTGTCACGGCAGCACTGGGCGACTAAACCCAACCCAAACCCATTACTGTCAACTCAATTCCGACTCATAGCGACCCTATAGGACAAAGTACAACTGCCCGATAGTTTCCAGGGAGCAGCTGGTGGATTCGAGCTACCTACCGTTTGGTTAGCAGCCGAGCTCGTAACCACTGCACCACCAGGGTAACTAGGACAGGCCCTGAATCTAAACAACCTCATCTCTCAGTAACAGCCCCTGGGGCTCGGCCCTGTGCGTGGACGCCCTCTGGGCCCGTCCCGGATACACCCTCACTGTATCCCAGTAAGCAACCTTCTCATCTCCAGGCCTGGCCACACTCTGAGCTCAGGAAGACAAGATGGGGCTTGGGACAGGGGCCGGAGCAGCCTCTAAGCTGGTGAACCTGTTGCCATTGAGTCGACTCCGACTCCTGGCAACCCCTCGGGTGTCAGAGTAAAACTGAGCTCCGTACGGTTTTCAGTGACTGATTGTTTTGAAGTAGATCACCAGGCCTTTCTTCCGAGGCACCTCTGGATGGACTGGAACCTCCAACCTTTCAGTCAGCAGCCGAGCGCGTTAACTGTTTGCACCACCGGGGGACCTCTCTCACAGTTCAGGGGCTAGGAGTCTGCATTCGGGGTGTGGCTCTGGGGGTGGGAAGGGCCTCCCCATCTATTTCAGCCTCTAGGAGCTGCCGGCAACCCTTGGCGCTCCTGGCCTTGTAGATGCGCCTGCGTGTGTGTCTGCCTTCACGTGGCGTCTCCCCGTGTGTGTCTCCATGTCTACGCCGCTCTTTTGATCACTCAAAAGTGATTAGGTTCAGACCCCACCCGACACTGGTACGCCCTCATTAACATAACAGAACAAAACCCCTGTTTCCAGACAGGATCACATCCATGGTCCAGAAAAACAACAGTTGCTGTGGAGTCGATTCTGATTCATGGCGAACCCGTGTGTGTCAGGGTAGGACCGTGCTCCCTAGGGTTCTCAGGGTCTGGTTTTTCGGAAGTAGCTGGCCAGGACTTTCTTCCGAGGTGCCACTGGGTGGACTCAAAGCATCAGCCTTTGGGTGAGCAGCCGAGTGCGCTCACCACCTGTGCCTCCGGGGACCCCGTGAGAGCGGTCCCGGGTGGCAGTGCGCTCTGGAGGCAGGCCAGCCCCTCGGCCCCCCGGGAAGGCGGCACTGGGGGGAGGCACTCACTGTTCTGCTCCCGCACCATGACGGTGTGGCACAGAGCCAGCAGGCGCCAGAACTCCTGCACAACCTTGTCCTTCTTGGCCCGCACGGCCGACAGCAGCTCCTTGTTGTGGAACAGAAGCTTCCCATCTGCAAACTCGTTCCACAGGTAGGGATTCACCTGGAGAGCGAAGGCGGGGACAGGCGGGCTGTGTTGGGGGGTCCCTGCCGGCCCCTAACCCCAACATTCGGGGCAGCAGCGCGGGGCTCACCTTAGGCAGGGTGTCTTCATTGTCTGGCCCTGGGGAGAGACACTGCTTCAGGCTCAGTTCCCCGAGGCCCCCGCCCCCACTGCAGCCTTCCCAGGGCCACTGGACGCAGCCGGACAACCCCTAACAACCAAGTAGCCACCCAGCCTCCTGCACAAAGGGGACAAAGATGTGGCCGCATCCCCCAGGTGTCCCCAAAGGGCAGCCAGAGCGGGACTTGGCGCCGTGGGACGCGCTGTTTGATCCTCTCGAAGGGTCTTTTGAAAACCTGGACTTGGCCACTGACTTTTGAAAATTGAGAGTTGTGGTTAGGTGCTGTCGATTCCAACTCATAGCGACCCCATTTGACAGAGGAGAATGGCCCCACAGGGTTTCCTAGCAAAAAAGACTTGAAGCACTTACTGATGAAGATCAAAGACCACAGCCTTCAGTATGGATTACACCTCAACATAAAGAAAGCAAAAATCCTCACAACTGGACCAATAAGTAACATCATGATAAATGGAGAAAAGATTGATGTTGTCAAGGATTTCATTTTACCTGGATCCACAATCAACGCCCATGGAAGCAGCAGTCAGGAAATCAAAAGACGCATTGCATTTGGCAAATCTGCTGCAAAAGACCTCTTTAAAGTGTTAAAAAGCAAAGATGTCACTTAAAGGACTAAGGTGCGCCTGACCCAAGCCATGGTGTTTTCAGTCACCTCATATGTATGTGAAAGCTGGACAGTGAATAAGGAAGAACGAAGAATTGATGCGTTTCAATTATGATGTTGGCGAAGAATATTGAATATACCATGGACTGCCAGATAAACAAATAAATCTGTCTTGGAAGAAGAACAGCCAGAATGCCCCTAAGAAGCAAAGATGGCGAGACTTCGTCTCACGTAATTTGGGCATGTTATCAGGTGGGACCAGTCCCTGGAGAAGGACATCATGCTTGGTAAAGCAGAGGGCCAGCAAAAAAGAGGAAGACCCTCAAGAAGATGGACTGACATGGTGGCTGCAACAATGGGCTCAAACATAATAACAATTGTGAGGATGGCGCAGGACCGGGCAGGGTTTCGTTCTGTTGTACGTGGGGTTGCTATGACTCGGAACTGATTCGACGGCTCCTAACAACAACAATCTTTATGGGAGCAGACTGCCAGATCTTTTCTCCTGAGGAGCCTCTGGGTGGCTTCAAACCACCAATCTTCTGCTTAGCAGCCGAGCACTTAACCGTTTTGCCACCAAGTCTCTTGTCACGTAGAAACCTGGCTCGTGGGTGTTCCGGAAACATCAGATGATTTAGTCACGTCAGGGGTTGGTGCTGAGTGGGTCTGCCCGCTTTGATCGGAGCTCCAGCCCTCCTGCTCTCCACAGACCCCACCGTGTCCTATTGCCTCCCCCGTCCTTGGCTGAGGATCAGGGGGCATCTACCAGCAGGGATGGGCCCATTTTTACCACGGAACGCGTACCCTTTTTTGTACCAGAAATTGCCTGCTACACCCATTTCTTAGTCTTCTGGGTCTCTGTCAGCTCCTGGCATAAATCCCGTACCCCTACCTTATAGACTAGACCAGGGGCTGGCACCGCGTGCCCCACCGCCGTTTCCATAGGGCCGGAAGCTAAGAATGGTTCTCACACGTTTCAGTGTTGTTGTCATTGTTACGTGCCGTCGAGCTGTGCCGACTCACAGCGCCCCCGTGGACAACAGAACGAAACGCCGCCCGGTCCTTCCCCATCCTCACAATTGTTGCTGTGTTTGAGCCCATTTTCACAGCCACGGTGTCAATCCATCTCACTGAGGGTCTTCCTCTTTTTCGCTGACCCTCTGCTTTACCAAGCATGATGTCCTTCTCCAGGGACTGATCCCTCCTGACAACATGTCCAAAGTATGTGAGACAAAGTCTCACCATCCTTGCTTCCAAGGAGCACTCTGGCTGTACTTCTTCCAAAACCGATTTGTTCCTTCTTCTGGCAGTCCAAGGTATATTCAATATTCTTCACCAACACCATAATTCAAAGGCATCAATTCTTCTCTGGTCCTCCTTATTCATTGTCCAGCTTTTGCGTGCATAGGAGGCGACTGAAAACACCATGGCTTGGGTCAGGGGCACCTTAGTGCTTGAAGTGACATCTTTGCTTTGTAACACTTCAAAGAGGTCTTTTTGCAGCAGATTTGCCCAATGCAATGTGTCTTTTGCTGCTGCTTCCATGGGCGTTGATTGTGGATCCAAGTAAAATGAAATCCTAACGCTGTAAAGATGACAGCCTAGGAAGCCCTGTGGGGCAGTTCCACTCTGTCACATGGGGTCAAGATGAGTCAGAGTCGACGGGACAGGAGCTAACAACAACACGGTCGGCTCGGATTCCGGCTGGACCCGGCTAAGACCCCGGGGGGCAGGGGGCGGTCCTTGGGGCTGGGGGGGTCCCGGTGGGGAGGGGACACCGGGTGGGGGCAGGGGAGACCCACCGTAGATGTGGCCATTGATGCAACACTTCTTGAAGGTCATGATGTTCTGGGTGAGTGTGCCCGTCTTGTCCGAGAAGATGTACTCCACCTGGCCCAGCTGGTCGTTGAGGCTGGTGCTGCGGGCCTTGGCGGGCGTGTCTAGAGGTGCGTAGTACATCTGCGTGTCCCAGTTGATGAAGATGCTGTTCCCCAGGTAGATGAACTCGGCGCTGCAAGGCACACCCGCTCACACTGGCCCCGGACTCCTGGGACGCCCCTGTCCCCAGCCCTGCCCACTGCTCCCCCCACCCCACCTGGCCACCAAACCAGCTCTTGAGTCGACCCCAGCTCACGGTGACCCCACGTGTGTCAGAGTAGAACTGTGCTCCATGAGGTTTTCAGTGGCTGATTTTCTGGAAGGAGATCACCAGGCCTTTCTTCTGAGGCACCTCTGGGTGGACTTGAATCACCAGCCTTGCGGTGAGCAGCTGAGCGCAAGATGGCTGTTTGTGCCCCCCGGGGGCTCCATGGGCCTCACTTTCCCCATCCAAGCACTGAGTGCAGGGCAGCCAGCTGGCACTCACATGATAAACAGGGCCATCGGGACCATGACACTGAGCAGGATGAGGAAGCCCCAGAAGGTGAAGAAGGATTCCATGGTGTCGGTGCGCTTGTAGTTGGACGAGATGTAGTAGTGTTTGGTCCTGAATTCCTTGATCTTGTACCTGAAGCCCAGGGCCAAGCCCATGGAGACCAGCAGCAAGAACAGAAAGATCTGTAGGCACAGGAGAGGGTGGTGCTGAGGGAGCCACCTGGACAGCCAGGGACGCACCGGGGGGGGGACCGGAGAAGACAGGAAGTCCCCCTGCCTCCATCCCCTGCCACCTCTGCTACCCAGATGGGGGGAGAGAGGGGGCTGGGAGTCCCAGGGGGAGGGGAACTTCCAGGGTCTCTGCCAGGCTTTGTGCCTTATATATATATTTTTTATTTCAATAATTAAAAAAGAAAACAATTGGACAAATGCTTGCTGTTAGCTGCCATCGAGTGGGCCCCAGACTCATGGGGACCCCACGGATCACAGAACAGATGCTGTCTGGTCCTGCACCATCTCTGGTATCAGTTTCGGGTCAAACTGTTGGGATCTATGGGATTTTCATTGGCTTGTTTTTGGAAGTATATAGCCAGGCCTTTCTTCCTAGTTCCTCTTAGATATGAAGCATCACTGAAACCTGTTCAGCATCATAGCAACACGCAAGCCTCCACCGACAGAGGGGTGGTGGCTACACATGAGGTGCGTTGACCGGGAATCTAACCCAGGCCTCCCGCATGGGAGGTGAGCGTTCAAACACTAAGCCACCGCTGCCTCTTGGGCAAACATTTAAGGGTTGTTAAATTTCAGTGGAGGGCGCATGAGCATTGTATTATTTTCTGCAGGTTTGGGAAACGTCAAAATCAAAATTTATTTTATAAAATAAGTTTTTTTAATTGTTATTTTTTAAGAAGAGTCTTGGGTCCAAAGACCTGTCCATGGGATCAGGCCTGAGACTTTGCAAAGGAGGGAAATGGAGACCCCGGGGGACAACCCTCCTGCAGGCCCTCCCCGCCCCTCACAGCTCACCATGATCACCAGCCTATTCACCAGGTGGTCCAGCTTCGTTCTCTTCAGGTGGATTTTGCCACAGTTCTTCATGATCTTTGTGTCGAAACCTGTGGGGCCAGGCCAGGCAGGGGGCATCGGTTCCAGTGGCCGAGCCCGGGGACACTTTGGCAGGGTTTGGGTGTGGGCTGCCCTTCCCTGGAGGCTCAGGAGCTCTGAGAACCTGGCCTGTCTTCCGACTTCCTTCCTTTCTTTTTTCCTATTGCTGTACCCTGCTGTCTACATGGCCGGAGAGCCCCAGGGGCAGTGCTTCCACCGCCTTCACTAAGGAGGTGGGAGGGTCTGGGGCACTGACAGAAGGAGTCTTGTGTACCATTTAGTCAAAAGGCAGACCCCTAATTCTTCATACTCACAGAGAGCCATCCATCCGTCTATCCATCCGTCTGTCCACCCAGCCTTCTATGCATTTGTCCACCTATTTACCTGTTCATCCTTCCATCCACCCATCTTCCTGCTCACCCATCCTTCCATCCACTCATGCATCCTTACATCTACCCATCCACCCATCTTCCATCCATCCAGCCGTCCTTCTTTCTGCTCAGCCATCCTTCCTTCCATCCACCCATCCATCCATCTACCCATCCTTCATCCATCTATCCATCCATCCATCCTTCTGCTCAGCCATCCTTCCTTCTGTCCACCCATCCACTCATCCACCCATCCAGCCACCCCATCCATCCATCCATACATCCATCCATCATCCATCCACCCATCCATCCATCCATGATCCACCCCATCCATCCACCCATCCATCTTTCTGCTCAGCCATCCTTTCTTCCATCCACCCACCCACACATCCATCCATCCATCCATCCATCCATCCATCCATCCATCCATCCATCCATCCACCCATTCACCCATCCTCAATCCATCCATTCATTTTTATATCCACTCATCTTTTCTTTCCATCCACCCATCCTCCATCCATCCACCCACCCATCCGTCCATGACCCATCCACCCACCCATCCATCTGTCCATGATCCATCCACCCACCCATCCATCCACCCCATCCATCCATCATCCATCCATCCATCCATCAATCCATCCATCCGTCCGTCCATGATCCACCCCATCCATCCATCATCCACCCATCCATCCATCATCCATCCATCCATCCACCCACCCACCTGCCCATACATCTGCCCATCCTGCCATATGTCCATCCAATTCTGGCCTCCATGCAAGAACCCCACTTTTTCCAGCCAAAACAAGGGTGCTAGCTCAACATGTCCCTTTTTACAGTTTCAGACTCTGGGGTCCAGAAAAGCCAAGCCAGGAGCCCCACGTTGCCCAGGCCTGGCTCCCCGACTTCCCATCAGCAGCCTCGGGGTTCCTGCCCAGCCCCTGGCCCGGCCAGCCCCTGCCCCAGGGCCCCAGGGCAGCTGCCCCCGACCCGAGCAGCCCCCGCCTCGGGCCCCAGCAGCTGTACCGGCGTAGATGACCAGTCCGTAGCAGGCATCCGTGTTGCGGATCTTGCAGCCACGCAGGAGGATGTTGCCGCTGTCGAGGGGGTATTTCTTGCCCTTCCACTCCAGGGACCCCACAAAATTGTGCATCCGGCTGTTGGGCTTTTCGCAGACCACCTTGCCTAGGGGCGACCGAGCGGTCAGCAGGCCACGGGCATGGCTGGGCTCTGGGCCTCCTCCCCGGGAACCCTGCCACCCACCTCCAACTGAGGGTGCTCTTCTGTCACCCTCCGGCTCTGGCGCTCTCGGAGTCCCCCACTGCCCCCCACTCACACCTCCAGCCCCACCACGAGGCCTCCTCTGCGATTCTCCAAAGCTAGCCCCTTCTGCCTCAGGGCCTTCATGCACGCTGTTTCCTCTGCCAGGAAGGCTTTCCCTGGATGCACGTCTCCTCCGGGAAGCCCACCCAGATCCTCCAACTAGATCAGACCCCCACACCCCCCGCTTAGTTCCCTCTCAGGGTTCTGATCCCCGGATGTGACACTTATCTCTGTGGTGACGCCAATAACATCTGTGAGCTCCATGAGGGCAGGCCCAAGGCCTATCTCAGGCACACCATGACCCGGGGGCCCTGCCCAGCACCTGGCACACAGTCGGCGCTCAGTAAATGTGTGGGGAGGGAGGGGCTCCCAAGAATCAGCAATGAACTGGAGAACGGACAATTACTGAGCGCTGACTGTGCCTGGTGGGGACACAGCCCCCCATTAACTGCCACCGACTCGAGGCAACACCCCGTGTTGCAGAGAGAACTGTTGTACAGGGTTTCTCAGCCGTGATCTTTACAGAAGCAGACTGCCAGCACTTTCTTCCGTGGTGCCACTGGGGTGGGCTTGAACCTTCAACATTTATGTTAGCAGCCGAGCGCTTACCGTCACCAAGACCCTCCGAGGTGGGAAATTTTCACGCCCATTTTTCAGAGGTGGTCACGGAGGCCGGGACGGGGTGGCTGGGATGGACGGCGCCCCGCTCAGGGCCTCTCACCTTGGAAGGTGGCCATCTTCCTTGTATTGTTCAGCTCGTGGTGGGTGACCGCCAGGGCTTGTCTGAACTTCAGGTTGGTCTCCCTGGTGACAAGGAGGGGAAGTAGGTGGAGGTGGCAACAGACAATGTCCCAGCAAGGAGCCCCCAGGCCCCCGTCCGGAGGCCGAGGCTCAGAGAGAGCGCTGAGGCGGCGCCCAGGCCTTCTCGCACGGGCAGTGAGGCCTGGCACACAGTCAGGCCCCAGAAATGTCTGTGCAAAGAAAGTAGACAAGTCCTTTCTTCTGCTTCATTCTTTTTTTTAATGTTTGAATTTTTTATTGGTGGTAAGATACGTATGACCAAAAAAACTGCCATTTTAATAATTTTTTTTGAACATTTTATTGTGCTTTAGGTGAAAGTTTGCACAGCAGATTAGCTTCCCATTCAATACTTCACACACAAATTTTTCCGTGAGGTTGGTTCCAATCCCCGCCATGTGTCAGCACTCTCCCCATTTCCACCCTGGGCTCCCTGTTTCCACTCATCCGGTTTCCCTGCCCCTTCCTGCCTTCTCATCTTTGCTTTTGGGCAAATGTTGCCCTTCCGGTCTCATATAGTTGATTGCTCTGAGAGCACGTGCCTCATGGGTTTATTTTATAGGCCTGTCTATTATTTGGCTGAAAGGCAACTGCCGGGAGTGGCTTCAGTTCCAGGTCAGAAGGTCTTAGGGCTATCATCTCTGGGGTTCCTCCAGTCTTGGTACCAGACCAGTAAGTCTGGTCTTTTTTATTAATTTGAATTTTGTTCTGCATTTTTCTCCTCCTCTAACCGGAATGTTCTCTCGTGGTCCCGGTCAGAGCGGTCAGTGTGGTAGCCGGGCACCATCTAGTTCTTCTGGTCTCAAGCTAGAAGAGGCTGTGGCATCGTAACCGTTTCTGAGCGCACCATTCAGTGGCATCACTTACCTTCACCACGTTGTACAACCCACACCACCATCTAGTTCCAACACTTTTCCATCACCCCATACAGAACGCCCACACCCGTTAGCAGTCACTCCTCGTTGCCCATCCCCAGCCCCTGGCAACCACTAATCCACTTTCTGTCTCTATGGATTTGCCTGTCTTGGACATTTCACATAAGTGGGATGAGACAATGTTTGTACTTTTGTGTCTGGCTTCTCTCACCGAGCATCATGTTTTCAAGGCTCATGCGCCCCCACTGGAGCACCTAGCAGAATTTCATCCCTCTTTACGGCTGAGTGACCTTCCGTTGTGCAGATGGACCACTCTGTGTTTAGCCATTCATCTGCTGATGGACGCTTGGGTTGTCTCCCGCCACCACCACCCCCACTGGCTGGAAAAGCACCCAGTGCCTTAGCAAAAAAAACCAACCCAGTTTCCACTGAGTCGATCCCAACTCCTGGCAACCCCACGTGTGTCAGAGTAGAACTGTGCTCCCCGTAAGATTTTCAACCCATAAAAAAAAAAAAAAAACACTGCCGTTGAGTCAATTCCAACTCATAGTGACCAGGATTTTCAGTGGCTGATTTTTCAGAAGCAGATGGCCAAGGCTTTCTTCCAAGGTGCCTCTGGGTGGACTCAAACTTTAAACTTTTCAGTTAGCAGCTGAGTGCTTAACTGTTTCCTCCACCAGGGACCTCTGTGCCTTGCAGGCCCCCATAAATGCTTGTGGGTAAATGACCAAAATATCTAAGCTGGCTTGGCAAGCTACCTCCTTGGCAACCAAGAAAAGGGACTCCTTGGGGCCTTGTGTGCCAATTCCCTGGGCCTCCCAGCCTGGGCCTCTTACCCGTCGACGTCGGCTGTCTCCACGTAGCACAGGCTGCTGGGCTCAGTGCTGGCAAGCAGTAGCATGTCGGCCTGGAGGGCAGGGAGCAGTTGAAGGAAACAAGGCCCCTGCTGCAGCAGGGTGGGAAGACTGGGAGGGGAGGTGGTCCTCCTGGGTGGGGCTGCCTCAGGCTCACCGGGACGATGCTGTCCTTCTGCAGGCAGACCACGTCCCCCACACACAGGTCCTTCCATTTCTTCCACAGGAATCTGCGGGTGGGGGGTGGCAGGCATGAGGGGGTTCCCCTCACTGCCCGGCACTGGCCCAACCCGGATGGAAGAAAGGATGGATGGATGGAGGATAAATGGTTAGTGGATAGATGGATGAACGGTGGATGGATGGATGGATGATGGATGGATGGATGGATGGATGAATGGATGGACAGAGAGACGAATGGGCTGATGGATGATAGATGGATGTACGATGGATGGATGGTGGATGAATGGATGGATGGATGATGGAAAAATGGATGGATAGATGGATGGATTATGGATGGATGGTGGATGGATGGATGGATGGAGGATGGTGGATGGATTGATGAATGGATGGATAGATGGATGGTGGATGGATGGACAGATAAATGGATGGATGATGGATGGATGGTGGATGGATGGTTGGATGATAGATGAATGGATGATGGATGGATGGATGGATGGATGGATGATGGATGGATTGATGGATGGACAGATGGATGAACAGACGGATGGATGGATGGACGATGAACGGATAGATGGATGGGTAAATAAATGGACGGATGACTGGAGCAGAGGGGTAGGGTGACATATTCCCCCTCCCAGCCTCCCTTGGCTCCCTGCCTCTCCAGATGGATGGTGGATGAATGATGGATTGATAGTGGATGGGTGGATGGATTGAATGAAAGGATAGATGGATGGATGATGAATGGATGGGTGGAAGGATGGTAAATGGATGAACAGATAGATGATGGACGGATGGATAGATGATGAATAAAAGAATAGATGGATGGATGACGGACGGATGAATGGTGGATGGATGAATAGAAGATGGATGGAAGGATGGACAGATGGATAGCTGGATGGATGAATGGGCGGATTGAGGGATGGGTGGATAGATGGATGAATGAATGGGGCAGAGGGGAAGGGTGGGATGGTGGCTGGGCCAGGGAGGTGACGAGTTCTCACCCCTAGGCCTCTGCTCCCCCTCCCAGCCTCCCTCAGCTCCCTGCCTCTCCAGGAAGCCTCCCTAACATCCCTCCTCCTTCCTCATGGCTCCACAGTCCTGTCCAGTGACCTCCAGGTCCTCCCCCCTCAGCTACTTCTAAGCCCCCCAAGGGATAAGAATCCAACCCCTGGCCTCTTCACCCTCATTACAGGGCCAGCTCCAAGCCTGGTAGACAGCTGGTGGCTAATAAATGCCATCTTGGGTCCTCTGTCATACTCAACCAGGACTTCCAGGGGCATTGAAGGTGCCGGACATTCTGGGGGCACCCCACTCTCCCCGCCCACTGCCCCAGCCTCACCTCTTCCCCACTAGGATCTGGCAGGGCCTGTTGTTGACGGCAGTGTCACTCCTGTGCCGCCCCTGGGCCGAGAGGGAGGGTCAGAGAGATGGACTTCCCACTCTCCCGGCCATGCCCCAGCCACACTCCTGGCCACACCCACTGCCACACCCAGGCTGATCGGCAGTCCCTGCTCACAAGGAGGTAGGAGGGAACCAAGGTGTCCCAGTCAACCAACCCCACGCAACGCTGAGTCTGTCCAGGGACCACGGGGGTGAGGTCTGCCTGGGCCAGTTGCTGTTAGCGAGAGGAGGGCAGGTTCCGCCGGCCACACAGTGTGGCCCCAGACCATCTGCCCAATATGGCCGCCAAGGCACAATGGCCCCCAAACAATATGGCTGCCAGAGCCACAAGCACCTCCCCAGCGTGGTCACCAGAACGCAACGGCTACCTCAGATGTTTTGTTACATATATATTTACCAAAAAAGGAATTTTAAATATTTGAAATAAAGGCTGCAAAGTTATGAGGAAAATCAAAACCAGAAACAATGGCCATTGAAACAACATGGCTGACAGAGCTGACAGGCACCTGCTCAACACGGTCACAAAAGTACAGTGGTCACCGAGGTCACACGGCTGACAGGCGGGGCGTCCAGCTCATCCTAGTTTGCCCGGAACTGCCCCTGTACCCCCCACCACAGCCACCAAGGAATACAGCTAGAAAACAATATGGCCACCAAGACATTCTGGACGTCAGTGCCGAGACAACACGGTCACCACAGCCGCCCTCCCAGCTGCCCAGTGCGGCCGCTGCAGCCCAAGTTCTGTGGCCAGTGCCTCCCCCAGCCCACACCAGCCTCCCAGCCCACTCACGATGTCATCCACCAGGTCGCGTGCAGCGCGGATAATGAGCAGGCAGACCAGCGGGGCAAAGAGCGTGAACCAGGGCAGCGTGGAGATCTCTGGGATTCCCTGACATAGATGGGCAGGTCATCCCAGACTCTTCCGGAGGCCTCCCCTGACCACCACACCCACCCTCCACCGAGCCTAACTCCGTGTGACCCTGTGACTCGACTGCTGACCATCTCCGTCCTGGTCTGGCCATCTCCCCACACACCCCCCTCGGGACCGTGTCCTTTAGTCCTTTATCTGTCCCATGTCACCTCCTCCAGGAAGCCCTCCCCAGCCCCAAGCTTGTCCCTCACCCTTCCCCATCCCTGTAGCCATGTTCTCTCAATGACAGTCACCCCCACTAGACACCCAGCCCTGACATCGGGGCTGCACACAGTAGGCGCTCAGTAAATGTTTTTTGGGTTAATGGATAAAAGCAGAGAGTCTCCCTTTATTCAGAGCAGAAATGAGCTGCTGGGTGGGGTGGGGGGCTCTGGAAATAGCACCCACCCCCTGAGAGGGAGATGCCCAGGTCAGGTGCCTGCCCCCACCCTGCTCTGGCCTGCTCCTCCTTCCTCAGGGTCCTCTGAAGCTGGTCAGCAGGCAGGTGGTCCAGACAGCCATGTGGCCAAGGCCACGTCCAGCCCGGGGGCCAGCAGGTCCCAGAGAGGGTGCCCTCTTGGACCTGGGGTTCCATCCATCCACGCTTCACCTTTCAACATATAGTGAGCGCCTTTTGTGTTCCAGGCCCCGAAAAAGAGGGCGCCGGCTGTGGGGAGCCGGACATTAAGCCTCTAACCACTCAGATAAACACACTATTCAACAGCTCTAGGTCTTCCAAGGGATGTCCAGAAGGGGGTCCGGGAGGGCTTCCTGGAGGAAGTGGCACTTCAGCTGTGAGCCCCAGGGCAGGGGAAGAACAGGCAGAGGGAATGGATGCCTGAGGCTGCCCCCACCCCCAGGCAACCCTGGGGCCTCCGCGCACCTGTAGGATGATGATAAGGAGGAAGTAGAGGTTGGACACGCGGTGGAATTGCTCATACAGGTTCAGCGGCAGGAAGGTGAAGACGTTATACTTGGCCGTGTGAATAATGTTGGTCTGCAATGAGAGCCACCCGCCTGGGGCCAGCTGGCAGGGGGCACTGCCCAGGCCAGGGGCCCCCTGTTAGCCCTGCCACACCTTGGCCGCACCCTGCACCCTCTGGGGCTGCGGGTGCAAAAGGCCACCGGTACGAGGGTAACAACTCTGGGGGAGCCAGCATTAACCAAACATCTTCTGAACGCAAGGCCTCAAGCCAGCAGTTATTGAGTGCCTGCTGAATACAAGGCCTCAGTCCAACATTGAGCGACTATAGCTGTCCCTCGGTGTCCTTGGGGGATTGGTTCCAGGACCCCCGTGGATAACCCAAATCCGAGGATGCTCAAGTCCCTTACATAAAACGGCGTAGTATTTGCACATAACCTACGCACATCCTTCTGTATGTTTTAAATCATTTCTAGATGACTTATAAGACCTAATACCATGTAGATGCTATCAAAATAGTTGCAAAGTGCTATGTAATGTAAGCAGCGCTTTCTGCTCACGCTTAGGCTTTGAGGGGTGGCTTTGCCCACTTCGTTGCTTTTTTTCGAAGAAGCAAAGGGTGTGCACAGCACAAGCAGCGAACGAACGAGACGCGAGGCGAACAGTGCTCAGCCGGCCAGTGCCGGGGAGACTGAGGGTCTGTGAGCTGGCAGGAGGCTACAGCCGGGGATGCCCACACGTCACTTCACTCGCCTGGATTTGGTGCGGTGCTCCGCGCACTGCAGATCAAGTTTTCCTTTCTGGAAATTTCTTTCCCCACCACCCCCAAATATTTTTTGATCCTTGGTTGAATCTGCGGACAGGGAACCCATGGATATGCAGGGCCGACTGTATTGAATGTTAAGGCCTCAAGTCAGCATTAATTGAGCATCTACTGAATGCAGTGCCTCAAGCTAGTATTTACTGAGCATCTGCTGAATGCGAAGATTTCATCCAACATTCAAGCCAACATTAATTGAGCACCTACTGCGTGCAAGGCCTCAAGTCAGCATTTACTGAGAGCCTGCTGAATGTAAGCCCTCAGGCCAACATTAATTATGTGCTTACTGAAGCAAGATCTTCAAATGGCGTTTACTGAACACCTGCTGAATGCAAGGCCTCAATCCAACAGTGAGTGACTACGGAACGCAAAGCCTCAAGTCAGCATTAATTGAGTATCTATTAAATGCAAGGCCTTGAACTAACATTTACTGAGCCCTGCAAAATGTAGGACCTCAGGCCAGCATTAATTATGTGCTTACTGAATGGAAGGTCTCAAGCCAACATTAATTGAGCACCTACTGCACGCAAGGCCTCAAGACAGCATTAATTGAGCACCTGCTGAATTGCAGGCCTCAGTCCAGCATTCACCAAACCTCTACTGAGTGCAAAGCTCTTCAAGCCCTGGCTAAGCATTTCCCAAAGCAGCAGGCACACAGGACGTTCTAGGTAGCACCAGGTGGACATCTCTTATTCTAAGGGCTGGGGAGGGGCAGAGGAGATGGCAGTAACTCGCCCACCACACAGGGGAGTACCTTAGGTCGAGGCAACAGTGCTCAAGTCTGTAATGAGAATGTCAAGCAAACAGAAGCACAGGCAGAACTCGGGTACCGCAAAGAGCAAGACCCTGAAGGTGGTCCTGGCGGTGACTGCTGGTAGACCCCAGCAGCCCCGTGGAGGCAGGGCAGGACCAGCTCTGGGGAAGAGGACGCGGAGCCTCCAGGGGTGCTGGCTGGGGTTTGGAGCTGAGCCGGTGGGGCGGGGCGGGACCAGCTTGCTACCTGCCCACAGCCGGGCTGGCACTCACCTTGTACCTCTTCTTTTGGCAGCACAGGAAGACCTTCTCCTTGAACTGCCAGTGGTAGTACCGGTCGTTGGCCTTCACCTCCCAAGTGAGTGCTGAAGCGAGAACGGGGTGGCATGGGGCCCGAGACAGACACGCTCTAATGACACCCCGAGGGAGAACTAACAGGACCCCTGGGGACCCGGACGCTGGAGACGCCCAGCTCACAGCCAGGGATGCCGGAGCTGGTAAACAAACGGGGCAGGGGTGGAGGGACCTGCAGGTACCTGGGATGGGGGGCAGCTTGGTCCCTGCATGCAGTAGGCGCTCAGGGCGCACAAGCAGATCTGCAGCACGGCCCTGCCCCTTTCCCCCGCACTGTGAGCCGTTCCCAAAGACTCAGACAACAGGACCCATCAAAGTCTGCCCATTTTACAGATGGGGCAAACTGAGGCTAGGTCGTGGGCTGTGAGGTGTCTGAGGCCACATGCCCAGCGGGGCGGTCCTGATCCTTCTGGAGTTGCAGCCTCCAAGCCCTGAGCTGATGATTCAGTAGTAGGGTTGGGGACTATTTGTAACCAGATGAGAACCCCATGCTGTCATCGTGGGCTGGGGGTGGGTCTCCCCAGTGTCCCCACTTCAGCCACGGCACCACTAGCCACACCTCACAATGTCCCTTCACTTACCCTGCCCCGCCCTCAGCCCTGGGGCACGCACCTGAGTTCTCGTCTTCTTTGAAAATGTCTTGGTAGTTGAGGCTGTTCATGCTGGTGGAGCTGGTGGGGGAGAGAGGACAGGAGGGTTCACAGCTTTCAGCTTAGAGGGAACCCTCTCTAAGACGACGCCTCCCACAGCCACCTGCAGCTTCCCTGGCCCAGGCTGATCCCAAACCTGCAACAGCCCCCAGCTGGCAACCTGAGGCCACCTTACCTCCCCCCATTACGGCAGCATTCTGCCGCTAAACACACCAGTTCCAGTCCCTACTCTCCACCCTACAGCCGCCCTGAGGTCCAGGACCCCATCACCGGTTGCTGGGATGACCACACCCTCCTCCTCCCTGGTCTCCTGGCTGCCCCTCCTGCCCTACTCCTCACACGGCACCTGGCACCAGCTAGGAGCTCAAGACATGTTTGTTGACTGACTACACGAGGCCCCAGGGTTATGCGTTATGTCTCACAGGCTGCCCGTGGAGCTCTGGGCGTGATCTCCAGGCTGCTCGGGGCAGGGGCCACCCCAACAAGCCGTGATAGCGAGGTGGAGGCGGGCAGCACACTTTTCACAGAGGCTGGAGCCTTCCTGCTGGTGAGTTTGTGGTCTGTCCGGGTTTCTGGAGTCTCACTTTGCACCAGGGGACCCTGGTCTGGCCCCTAGGGGCTGGTACAAACCATCCTTCCATGGCAACCTGCCACCTCCAATGACGCCTCAGCTCTCAGGCTGCTCTGACCACAGGCACCACCAAGCTCTCCTCCCACGCCTTCCGCCAGGAGCCTTGTTTCCCCACGTCTGGCCAGTGCCTCCTCACCCTGCTGGTCTCAATTCAGATGTCCCTGGCCCTCCAGGCTGGACCTGGCTGCTCTGGTGGGCCCCTCCTCCGCCCTCCTCCCCCATCACGGCTCTGATCACCACCCTCTCCCATCCACCTCTTCCCCGTCTGGATTGCCTGCTGAAGCCCAAACCTCTCGGCCAGGACGCTGGCATATGAGTCATCGTGTACCCAGGGCCCCCTGCGGGAGGGCTTGGCTCAGGGGTGGCTCTGGGAGGCTGAGCAGGGCTATCACCCATTCAGCAGATGAGGAAAAGTGAGGCCCAGGGCAGACACGGAGCTGCGGGAGATTCAGCCAGGGTGGAGACTGGGACTGGGTGGGTCGTGCTCAGGGGGTTGGAGCCCACCCAAGACTTGTCTGGGGGCGGACACACCCACGCAGCCCCCGCTTCCTGTTCACCCCCACCCTCAGCTCATCGGAACCTCACGCTTTCCCACACAGATCGCAGCCCCCTGGCTGCCCCCTGGCCGGAGGGACCCAGGCCCAAAGGACATGGCGCTCTCCGCCACCCCATCCCGAGCCTCGACGCGCGCGAACCCCCAGGGGCAGCCCCTCCTCCGCCGCTGGCACCCCAGGCCTCA